AATATTAGCTGATTGTATATGGAAACACAAGGTTACAAGGAAAGCAATACTCAGAGAAGAAGTTAGAAATGATGCAGTATTGACAAAAGTAGGTGAAGTAGTAGATACCTAGTAATGAAATTTAGGTATAAGCCTCCGTAAGTTAAGAAATTTAGGGTTTGAAACCAGCAGAGAGAAGGTTAATAATGGAGCAAAGATACCTATTGACTTTTCATGCCTCTCTGACTCCTTCCTTAATATTCATTATTAGTACAAGGAGATGTGAGAATGAGTAATACTTCAGCTTCTACCACTTTAACTATCTTCTCCAAGTTCATCTTGCTTTGATCTTATTCCCATATGTCAACTAGCATCACTAATCAGATTGAATGGTGAGGGAGTGAACCTAAAAGGGATTGATTTATGTGAGAGGCTGAGAGTGAGATGATAGATGAGTGAAGATTTGAAAATGGGAAGGAAGTGAACTTGTTGGCAGTGACCTAAGCATGAGAAGAAAAGACGGAGGCAACATATGAGTGTGTTTGTGTTTGTGTGAGGTTTTTAGTTTAACTTGGAGCCTTTGAGCTCAAGGTCAAAAGCAAAGCAAATATGAGGCTATTGGCATGAAGGAGTGACTCATGTAGTCTTAGAGATTTAGATGAGTTTTATGCAATGTTGTAGGAAAGGATCAAGAAATTTCAAGAAATTAGGCTTTCATTGTCTTCATTCATGTGTTCTATATTGTGATCAAGACCTTGATACCACTTTTTTTAGATTATAGAGCATCCTGAAAAGGGGGAAGAAAATGCCTAGGCTTAGCAGCCACAAGAAGATACATAGAAATCAGTTGGATACCACATCTTAACTCAACCATAAGGTTATGAGTTTTATAGGTCCTAATTGGATACCTTTCCTTCAATGCAACTCAAGTTTACCCACATTTAACAACCCAACAATATCCTCCTTTGATAAGTCAACTTTTGACATCCACATTATGTTAGGAACAGAACGAGGGATGCTCATAGAAACATAGGGTTACCTTGAAAGCAATGCTCATAGAAGAAGTTAGTAATGATGTAGCATGATAGAAATAGGTGAAGTAGTATATACCCAGTAATGAAATTTGGGTAAAAGTCACTATAAGTTAAGAAATAATTAGGTTGAAACCAGTAGAGAGAATGTTAATCTATGAAGTAAACATGCTTATTGAATTTTCATGCCCCCTTTTCACTTCCTTACTTAAGATTGTATATTAGTATAAGGAGACATGAGAATGGCTCATACTTTGGCCAGCCTTCCCCACTTTAACTTCATTCTAGAGTTTCACACCATTTTGATCTCATTCACATGTGTTCACTAGCATCACCAATTAGATCAAATGAAGAGGTAATAAAACTAAAAGGGATCAAGTTGTGTGAGAAGCCAAGAACAAGTTGACAAATAAGTGGAAGATTTGAAGAAAATAGAGAGGAAGTAAACTCTTGGCAGCGGCTTGAGCATGAGAAGAGAAAATAGAGGTGATAGATGAGTGTGGTTGTGGTTGTGTGGGGGTTTTTAGTTTGAATTGGAGCCTTTGAACTCAAGGTCAAGAGCACAGCAAATCTAAGACGATTGGCATGTGGGAGTGATTTATTTAGTCCTGGAAGATTTAGATGATTTTTATTTTTGCAAAGTTGTGGAAAAGGATTAATAAATTTCAACAAATAAGGATTTTCCCATCTTCACTCATGTAGTCCATATTGTGATTAAGACTTTGATAATACTTGTTAGGCTTATGGAGCATCTTGAAAAGCAGAAAAAACTATCTAGGCCTAGCATCAACAAGAAGATGTATATAAATGGCCTCGATACCATATCTTAAATTAAAACCTTAAGGTTATGAGACTATAGGTCCATCTACTTGGATTCCTCTTCTTTAATCCAACTCAAGTCTACCTACATTTAATAACCCAACAATCTTTTCTAGCATGTTAACCTTTGACATCCACTTGTTGGGTAAGGAACAGAACAAGGGATGCTTATAGAAACATTGGGTTACCTAGAATCCAATACTTATAGAAGAAGTTAGGAATGATGTAGTACTGATAGATATAAGTAAAGTAGTAGATAACCAGTAATAAAATCTGGGCAAAAGTCACCACAACTTGAAAAATTATTAGCTTGATACTATTAGAGAAAGGGTTGATTCATGGAGTGAAGACACTTATTGAGTTTTGTTCCCCTCTTCACCTCCTTCCTTAAGATTGTATATTAGTACAAGGAGGCATGAGAATGGGTAACACTTTAGCTTCCACCACTTTAACCACCTTATTCAAATTCACGCCACTTTAATCTTATTTTGATATGTCAACTAGTATCACTAATCGAACTAAACAGAGAGGTAGTGAAACTGAAAGGGTCAAGCTATATGAGAGGCCAAGAGTGAGATGACAAATGAGTGAAAGATTTGAGAATGGAGAGAAAGTGAAATTGTTGTAGCTACTTGAGCACATGAAGAGAAGATGGAGGCAACATATGATTGGGGTTGTCTTTATGTGGGGTTTTTAGTTCAACTTAGAGCCTTTAAACTTGAGGTCAAGAGCAAAGCAAATTTGAGACTACTAGATGGATGGATTAACTCTTCTAGCCTTTGGAAGGTTTAGATGAGTTTTATTCAAAGTTATGGAAAAGGATTAAGAAATTTTAATAAACTAAAATTTCATTGTTTTCACTTATGTAGTCTATTTCATTATCAAGACTTTAATACCACTTGTTAGGCTTATAGGGCATCCTTAAAAGGGTGAAGAAACTATCCAAGGCTAGTAGTAACAAGAAGTTACATATAAATAGGTTTAATATTGTATCTTAACTCAAAACTTTAAGGTTATGAGTTTACAGGTCCTTCTATTTGGATATGTTTTCTTCAATCCAACTCAAGTCTACTCACAATTAACACCCCAACAATCTCCTCTTCTCGTAAGTCAACCTTTAACATCCGCTTTCTAGGCAATGAACAAAACAAGGAACCTTATACATATACCTACATTTATTGAAACTTGGAATTGTTAAGTTGAAATTCTTATAGTAAGTTGTGGCCACCAACAATTCCATTGATTTTTCATTGTCAATGTACTCTATTGGTTAGACAATTCAACACTTTGGAAAGTCAATCCAAATTCAATGGGATAGATAGCAAGATTCCTTGAGTCAAAATCTAGACCCTATGAAAATTCAAAGGCAATTTTATATGCTTGTAATAGGTGTTCAATAGTGGAAGGTTTAGATGAGTTTTATGTCAAGATGAAGCAAATGATCAAGAAATTTCAAGATGATTTATTGCAATCTAAAAAAAGATGATTTCAAGGGTAAAAGCTATTAAGGATTTGAATACAACTAGTGTTAGTGGTAGCATGTGTAAGGGAATCCATACTTAAGCACATGACAACTCTATTTGTGGCACAAGACAATGTTAAGTGATGCTACTAATAATGGGATGGTTTTAGAAAATTGACTTTAAAATGAATTTCGTTTGGGTAAACATTTGACATTTTGGAACTTTTATGCACTTGTTGGAAAATGTTGTTAATAAGTTTTTTAACTTCTATGGTAAATTTCATTTAACTAACTTTGGTGATGAATTTCATTTATGTGACTTTGGTGTTGAATTTTATTGAACTGATTAAAAAAATAAAAAACTTGTTAGGGCTAGAGATCATCTTAAAAAAAAATGGAGAAGCAAGCTAGGTCTAGCAACAACAAGAGGATACATATAAGTGTACTTAACATCATATTTTAATTCAAAATCTTAAGGTATAGTAAATTTATCTTCATTTATGTTCCAACAACCTCCCCCCATTGAAAGTCCATCTAGAACACAAGCATATTGTGCAAAGGAGAATTTTTTCAATTTGAGATTTTCATATATCATTGTCTTCACACAAGTCCCTATCAAACTAGGCTCTGATACCATTTGTGGGGCTAGGAGATCATTTAGAAAAGGGGAAAATTAGCTTGCCTAGTAACAATAAGAAGATCAAGTTATTGAGCTAGATATCATATATTAATCTAAAACCTTAAGGCAGTGACTTTATAGGTCTTTCCACTTGTATCTCAACACATATTCATTTCGTTTCTTATTTCTTATATTTGCATATCAAATTGTCTAACTAATTGAAAAAGCTAATGGAATACATTGATATTCAACTTAATGATTCAAAAGTCAGAGTGAGTAATGATTTGTGCAAGTATTTTATGCTATCAATTAAGTTAAAACAACAATAATAACAAGAAGCCTTATCACACTAAGTGGGGTTAGTTACATGGATTGCACAATGTTATTTTACTCTATCATCAACAAGCTTTTAAGAATATTATTAGCTAAAAGGTCTTAGTCAACAATTTCTATAAGTTTCATCTTCCTTTACCCCTCTTTATAGAGCTCAAGATTATCTGTTCCACTTTCTTTACTGGTGTCTCCCATGGCCTTCTCTGTACATGTGCAAACCATTTCAAGTGATTTTCTAACATTTTTCTCTCAATAGATGCTATGTCCACTTTTCTCATATGTGCTTATTTTGGATTTTATTTTTTTGTGTACGCACATACATCTATCTCAACACCCACTTTGGTCAACTAAGTTACGAGAATATATTAAAAATAAATTAAAACTATGAGCCAATTTTCAACATCTTTGTTGTTTCAAGCATGGGGCATGTGATTGAAAGGAGAAACTTGTACTCAGATGTAAAGCTTGGCAAGACATTCTAGCCATCTCTTGAGCTGCAGGTATAATATACTTATCCCACCTACCTCTTTAGATGATCTTTTGTTGTTTTTGATTAATTCACAACTAAAAAGAGTGAATGAATTTAATTTATGATGCAAAGATAAAAAATGCAATATTCATTATATATCATTATTATCATTACTCCACGACAGACTATATCTAATATGAATTGAAAATAAAAATTTTGAGATGTCAAGGAAAAATTAGCAGATTTTTTTTTTCTTTTTTGGCCTTTTTGGGTAAATGGACAGGTAGAAGCTGAATATTTTAAGCTAAACAAGGAACTGGGAGAGAAGACTCGTGAATTGAGGTATGATTATGGAGTTACAAATAATCAATATCTATATCTATATATCTATATATATATATATTATATAATACGATATAAAAAGTTATATTGAGTCATTATTCATAAGCAAGGAATTGTGTTCTTCTTCATATTTGCACGGGAGCCTCACAATCTACACATCCAGTTTTATCATATAATATACGATGTGTTACAATAAGTTTATTGTTGATTCAAATCCATGGTTTCCACATGTAACAGGCACCTCAATGGAGAAGGACTTCAAGGATTGACCTTAAGAGAACTAAAGAAGCAAGAAGATCTAGTTAGCGCATGCTTGCATCGTGTTTCAAAAGCCAAGGTTTTCCTTTCCCCTATAAGATCAATATTTTTATCTGTCTTATTTAGCATATTAATATATTATATAAAAGTTTATTCTTTATTGTATCGGTGTTTTTACTTCACCATTAGTTTATAATATTTCTACATACATGACATATTCTTCTTTTCTCCATATACTTTTGTTATTCAATGATACATTGAATCCTATATATGCATGGCATGAATAATATGCTTTCAGGCTGAAGCATTTGGGCAAGAGATCAGTATTCTGAAGAAACAGGTTAGAGTTATGTTCATTTATCAAAAGTGTCTCATACATTATATTCGTCTTAGTTATAATAATGAGATACAATTGATCATTAATTTTTGGGATTATGTATTCTTAAGAAATTTTAGTTTTTCAAGTGTTTGCAAGCTTATAAGATATTCAAATTTGAAGACCAAAAACTTGAAAAATATGTGTTACATATAATATGTGTGTGTGTGTGCGCGCGCGTGTCTTAAATGAGAAGAATACTCATCTGTTCATGCAAGTGATCATTCTCAAATCGTGCATAAATTATAACTCCACAATAACTACTAGAAAAATTAAAGATAGTAATAATTAACATGTAGGTTACGTTGCAGCTGATATTAAAATACAGTATATATACTTGTAGGTTTCATTAAGATAACTTGAACCTCCCACTAATGTGTTTCAATATAATGGCTTTATGGATGAATATTACATTATTTGCGTTTGTTAGTGTCTGGCAATTTTCTTCTTCATTTGGAACAATTTGTTGAGTGCACAATATGTGGGGCTTAGGATTTCTAACACGTCCCCCTGTAATATTCTTTGTAAAACTCAGCTTTTTTAATATCATTTTTCTTTTTTTGTCTTGAATCATCTTCTACATAAAATAAGAGACATTCTAATACATCTTCAAGTCTCACAATGGTAAAGTTTTGTATCCTTTTGACAATTATTAAAAGAAAAATCCCAAATTATTAGGACTTTAAGATATCACAATTTTTCTTATTTTATGTAGAAATCAATGATTTGAAAAGCCAAAAAAAAAAAAACAAAAAGAAATTGGAAAGGTGAAACATTACAAAGGCATTAGAGGGCCTCAAACATTTTTTTTTTTTTACTGACGTATTTATTTTTAATATCAATGAAGGAAGACAGGCTCGTGGAAGAGAACCAGAGACTAGACCAGGTTTTTCAAATTCTTGCCATTAATTCTCTTGTTTATTAATGTCTGTATCTTCATAATTATATTATATTTCTCATTTTCCATGTCCTTAAACTTAATGCCAATCAAGGAATTAAAATTCATTGAAGAAAATCAGAGATTAGAACAGGTATGTATATATAGGTTTCAGATTCTTGTATTTCTCAGTAGTTTTTGTCTGAGATTTGTCCATCAAACTGTGAAATGAATTAAACTGTCTGTTAATAGGTTCCAAGGTTAAGCATGACCAAGACCAGTGATTGGCCACCTGTCTCACGACGATGTAAGATTTGTAACCTCCTTTTAACGAGAGAGAACTGTTTTATGATTTATAATTGCTTTTTTTATTTTCAAATTTTTGGTGGACAACAAATTAAACGTGTTTGGGCCCTGATTTTCAGTTATATTTATCTAGGCTAATTATTTTATTTTGTCCCCTCAAAAATACCATGGATTATTCGGTTTTGCATTGAATTAGAGTGATCCCATGGATTTTCACGAAACTAAGATATGAGTTTCGCTGTTTAATTAACGCTTTATATATATATATATATATATGATTTTGTTAATGAGTATTGGTAGCTCATGAGAATGAACTTTTCTGCGCGAAACTAATTAATTTGAATGATTTGCAATTATACATATGGTTGAGTTTAATTGATGATCTATATATGAATCCTAAAATTTTGGCACAGAATTTGGTTGCCCTAAATTCCAGCACAAATATTAGGACAGATTTTGTGACAGATCTATGACTTCTTTGTGACGGTTTTTGGTCTGTTACAAATTTCCGTTGCAAATCCATCTCTTGTTTTCATCTTGTAGTCCATACTATTCATGACTAGTTTTATTTAATTTACTTGGAGGGTACTCTTTCCATGAATCAAATTAAAATCTTTGAATGAGGATGCACATTATTATTGGGCTAATTATGGATTATCTTTATTTCTTGAGTGTGCCTGCGTACGTGCATGTTGGTATAGTTGTTTCATTGTTTCAGCTTAGTTAATTTTCTCTTCTAAATTATATATTCTGTTTTGTATTATAATACAACAAAACAATAGTGATCCATCTAGTCAATGTTCTATAGGCAATAATCAATAGTAATAGCGTTCATTCCCACATAAAAATAGAGATTAGTGCAATTATTTTCTTTTTGCTAATACATCTGTAAGCGCTCTTTGATGAATTTAGAGTTATGTCCTTGTCTTGATGAGTACATGAGACTCAACGCACCTAAAAGAATTTACCATATTGCAATTCCAAAGAAGAAGCATCAATTTTTAGATAAATGAGTGGTGAGAAAATTGTTGAGTTATAGGATTGTTCGCAAGCCAGGCTAGTTTAGTGTCAGGCCGAAAAGAGGCCCAAAACATCCTTTAGGTCAATTGTTATTACTTAATTTTAAAATTAATTAGTACATATTTTAATTGAATTTCTTAATTTCTTTTTAATGAATGAGTTAGATGCAACAATACCAAAATATATAAAATATTTTATTTCAGGAAAAATTAGGTTCCAAAAAATCAATTTAATGATAATTAGGTTTTAAAAAATTGATTGAAAAAAAGCTGCAATTATAAATTTTAGACAATTGCAAGTCGAACATTAGTCATTGGTCACGATAAATGAGCTGCAACAAAGACTTTCACATTTACAGCTATATAAACAGATACTTGTAACTTATTTTTTTAATTTATGGCTAGATAAATAGATAAAGTGTAACTCATTTTTAAATAAGTTTTTTAGAAATAGCTGCTATTAATTGATTTTTTGGACCTGAATATCATTTCCCCTTTTATATTTTAGCATTTGCTTTTATTTCCTCAAATTTGCTCTAAATTGGGGTTAAAGAAACAAATGATTCAAAATATTTAGATGCCCAATAAAAAATTAAAGAAAAGTTTAATAAGAGGAGAGTCTAAAATAATTACTAATTACTAAGTAGAATAAAGATGTGTAACTTTATATGAGATGTGTTTTGTTTAATATAATTTTGTAATTCAGATTAAAAGAATAAAGATCAATAGTGAAAAAGTCAAGTTAATCACATATTTGGAAATTATTGAATTAAGTCCCCTGGATGTGTAAAATGACGCCCAAGTGTCAAAATCATTAACGGTCAAAACCATCATGATCGAAAATGCTCGTACCCATTCCGCAACAATTAAATCGTTCAATTGTAAAATTTTAAAAATAAGAAAATAAGTTGTGAATAATAAACAATTAGATCGTAAATTTTAGAAAATAAGTTGTAAATTATACCAAAAAAATTAGAAATACTTTAAAATTAAATTATAAATTTTAAAGATTAGTTGTAAATTAAGTTAAATAACTCGTTCAAAATGGACTATAGAATTATGCAGGAGTAGGAGTTGAATAAGCTAATCGAAAGGTCTCAAGTTTGAATTATGAGAGACACAAAGACATTGAATAAAGGATTAATGGTCAATTTTGTCCCTAGACTAGTTATGAAAGCATATAAATGATTCTAAACTCAATTATGAGTAATTTATCTCTCTTAAATAAAGGATTAAGACTTTTAAATTTTCACCCTACCATTTGAATTGTCAATTTTTTCTATTAGTTGGGCCTACATTTAAATTTTTTAATATTTACTTATTATAAAATATTGCATTGCGGTCCCACCAATTAAAAATATTCTTCTCTCCCTTCCACCTTCCCCCTCCCTCCCTCCCCTCTCTCCCCATCATTCGACCAAGATCTCCAAACATGTTGAAGACGAGAGTGATGAAGATGTAATTTCCATGGTCTAGAATGTCCACTAATGCCCATAGAGTCATGTTGCGTCTCCATGGAAAAGATGTCGACTTTGAGCCTATTCTGTTATCCAACTACTCACACAACCACTGCCTTTAGAGCGTCCTTAGCCCCACCAATGCTCCCTTCCCCTTCCTCACACTCCTTCAACCCTGCCATCACCACCTCATCCTCCTCCTCCACCACCACATTTTCATTCAAAACAAGGGAGTCCTCCACTACCACCTCCTCCTCTTCTTCCATCTCTCTGAGCTCCAACTCAACTTTGGTTTCGACTCTGATAGCCTCTCTGCCCTCCACCTTCTAGGACAACCCACCTCAAGATTGGCCGAACCTACCTTCATGCATGCAATCAATTCAAATAGGAGTACAATTTATAACATCGAGCATCTAAATCATCATTTAAAGAGTGCCTTTGTATTTCTTTGATAATATATAAAAACTGTAGGTTCTACAAGCTATATTCTAGAGTAAAAATTAACATAACTTTGAATTCGGCTATAATAAACTGTAGGAAAAACATGATTTTAAATTCCTATATTTTGCTCACGTTTTACTATTGATTCCTGTACCTTTTTCTAGTGTTTTAGGTCCTTACACTTTTGTTAAACAATTAAAAACAAAAGTGCAAGGTCCTAAAACACTAGAAAAAAGTACAAGACTTAAAGTTATGTTTTTCCTAAACTGCATGATAAAGACTACCATATAATAAATTGCTCCATCCGATCCATAGCATATGAGTGGTATGTAATCCTACTCCCCTTACTCACAAATGTCTTGTTTAGTAATACATCATCCTCTATCCACTTGTCCTCTTTTCTTCCTTGTCTTCAGTGGGCTTCTTCTACTCATCCTCTGTCTCCCTTTTCGTTACCCACAAATGGCTTAATCTCATTATTGACGTCTAGATTCAATATATTTCCCAACAACAATTACACTTTCTCCAACTACTCTTAAGCCCTCAAATCCCTCATGTATCTCACCTAATTGAGCTCAACAATCTCTCCATTACTAAAGATTTCAGTAAGGCTTTTGGACTTCTCCTTGAACTTACTTTCGATCATTTCTCATGTTGGGCCCACCAAGGAGGTGTAAGTGCTTTGAACCTTTGTTTAGCTCTATTTTTTAATAGAAAATAGAGGTGGGTGATGGAGAGGACATCATTCGGGCTCTTGCTCTTACTCCTCATTGTCCTAGCTTTTGCTAAGATCATAGAGCTACTCCTTAATACTCATGTGATGAAAAGCTGTTGTGCGTGATGTGCTTTCCATCACCAAGATCTT